TAACTTTGCCATAGTGAGTTAAAAAGGCTGTGACCTTATAAACTAGAATCTGTTTCATGTCCGCAAGAATTTATATGAACTAAAATGTACTTACAGTATGGAATTAGATAGCAAATATCAAAATTCGTGAAGACTGTGGCGCCACGACTAGGGGGTCCTCATCCATAAGAAAAACATGTCTTAGACTATAGTTTTAACCCAAAATTATCAATAAACTACCATTTTGTATTTATATGGAATAGGAAACAAATGTATATAATACTAAATACACTCAAACTGCTAATACATCAAATACTAAAAGGGAGTGATCATAATTTAATAAAAACTTATAAAAGCACTTATTATGAATGTAATTTATGTATGTAGCTTCCCAGCCAATTTGATCATGCACCATTAGTGAATGAGTGAGAAACTACTGAAGTTATGATAAAAAAGCATATGGAACAAGGATGAAGGAGGTGTGAAACTTACCAGACATAAATCCCATCGCTGAACCAACACTTTCACTAAATACTTGAGTACAATGCTTTACACACATTTTTGGGATGAGGCTTGGAACTACATGTTGTGCAGTGAGTTTGTGGACTATTTTCAGACGCACTCCTCTGTACTCTGGTCTTCTTTACATGTTTTTTGATCGAGTTTGTATTCTAAATCTTTATTGATCAGGTTATTGCGAATACCTTTCATGAGATGTGGTGGGTCAAATATTGGAAAATTAGAATAGAAGACCCCTGGTCACAAACAGTACTGATCACTTTTAACCCTGTGGCTTGTACATTCATAATGACACTAATTATTTGTCTTTTTATATCATGTGTGTGTGTCATGGGTCATGTTTAGTGCTTCCTTTGCAAAATGTGAATCATGGGCTGTTTAAATTTTTTTACTACTCCTCGCACCATAAAGGCTAGTACATGATCACAAAATTCTTTTTTTCCATCTTGTCCATTATCCACAAATCCATGGATGATGTCATTTTTTTATCATATGTCAAACTTGAAGTAATTGCCATTTCGTCGAATATAATTGTACAATATTTGTGAGTTGTGGGCATTTTACTAACTCTTTTTTTTTTTAAATTATTAAAAATAGATGCATTTATTCCTGCTCGAATATGCACTTTCTGTAGGAGCTTGTCCAGTGTTCTTTTTTTAGGGAACACACATTAAAAGTATATAAGCTTCTGGGCTTGGTTTATATAAAGAAAGTGCCAAAATCTTCTCATCTAAAGAGAATCTCCTTCCTCTTGGTTTTTTATGCGACTCATTGATTTGCATGCTAAAAAATGTTTTAGCTGCTGGTGACATATTTTTAACAAGCATATTAACCTCTCAGACCTTGACATTTTATTGGACATATTTAGTTAGAACTATGGTCAAGCCAAAGAGTATAGTAGGTCAGGCCAGACGATTTTTTAAAAAAAATGGTAAAAATAACTTAGAGTCATTACTATGTTCATATCCAAAAATAAAAAATTATCAACAATTAAAATATCGAATTATTTATATGAAGGTCAAGTGACCGCTAGAGTGACGACGATTGCGAGACGATTTGTCGATAAATGAAATGTTTCGAGAAATTATCAATTACTGTGTAGTGGCGGTGTATGAATATTCATACTATTCCGTGGGTTTCGTAAGAGGCGACTGATCCACTGTTCAATAAAACAAGGTACGTGTACCGTGGAACAGAACGTGGCAACTATGACAAGTATACCCTCTATGAGGAATATAGTGGAGGCCTATGTTCATTGGGGGTTTTTATAGGATGTAACGGTCCATCACCAGCAGTGGAATGAAACTGTAAGGAGAGGGAGGGATTAATTTTATTATTTAAAAAAATATTTTTGTGTTTTTTTTTTTATAGAAGAGGGGGCAAACGAGCATGCGGCTCACTTGATGGTAAGTGACTACCGCCGCCCATTAACAACCGCAACACCAGGGGAATTGCAGATGCGTTGCCGGCCGTTTAGAAAGGTGTAAGCTCTTTTCTTGAAGGTCCCTAAGTCGTATCGGTCCGGAAAATCCGCCGGTGGTAAACAATTATGTGTAAAAAAGTCATCAAACAGCATCAAACAATTTATTAAACAAAAGTTGCGTAAACAAGTTCAATGGTTAAAACAATATTAAATAACAAAACCAAACAATACTACTGAAAAGAAAAAAAAGTAAATATTATTTCACTTTTACAACTAAGGCAAATCTAATGAATCGCTATATTATGTTAAAATTCAATATATATATTAAAATCGAATAAATATTATGAAGAAAGAAACAAGGACATAGAAACACTTGATTTTCATAAAGAAAAGAAATATATAATATAATTATATCGATAAACTCAGTAGAAGCCTCAAAAAAAATTAAATCACAGGTATATTATACTTGTACATCCGTAAGATAGCGTAATAAAGTATATACTTTATTACGCTATCTTTGAGCAACGCCATTTTTCTAACGACTTCAAACAGGAGAAGGAAGTCGACTGTGTTTTTTTATGTGTGTTACCTCATAACCTTCTGGGTGAACTGATTTCGATGATTCTTTTTTTATTTGAAAGCTGGTGCTTCACATTCACATTTTTATTTTTAGTTATTGTTGAAAACAACTTCGCCATAATGTTCACTATATATCGAAATTATAACATAAAACGTAATTTTCGCGCATTGGACTTTGTGGGATATGAAAATTTGTGTTTATTACATGATTTATTGTGATAACTCACACTTTTTATTTACTTTTCAGTTAATTCTGGCTATTACACAGTATTTGAAATGGCAATTTTATAAAATATATGAAATTGTTACGAAGCAAAATATAAGGAATTAAATTTTAAAACAGTGTAATTACTTACCATTTGTATAAAAACTAACAAAAAACTTTCTATTGTACCCACTTAATTTTTTGTAAAATTTCTAGTTGCCTCTTACACTCACGCGGCGAAGGATATAAGACTAAAGTATGTGATGTAAACGCGACGCGAGGCGGAAACTCGTCATTTGAAGTAAATTCTGTTAATTTAAAGAAGCGTAATTTAATAATGAAACTAATTCTAATAAAATTTTAGTTTTATAGTTCATCTAAATAACATTTAAAAAATAATTGTTATGAGCACAATAACTATGGTTCTGACTAAACGTAGTGTAGTGGTCATATACTCTTTGGTTCTGAGGGGTCCTTTCTAAATATTACCATACTCTTTGGAGCGTTCTACAAAGTTGACCTTGGATTGCCTCATGTGTACTTCAAAGGCTTGACAGATTAAATGCTTTTGACTTTTGCAGTTTTTTTTCAAATTTAATTGCAATTTATAAGCATCTTTTCGCTTTTGCATCTTCCTTAGTTTATTTTTCAAATCAATTATGACTTTTTTTTCTGGTTCATTTGTGTTTTTGTCATGGGTATAGATGTTTTCCTACGTATTAAAAACGAAGAGTAATTAATTCACTTAAAAAAATAAAATAAAACCTAAGTTTAATTTTGCTTAAAATGGTTGAACTGCCGTCTTATTACTATTATAATAAAACACTCTCCGATTACTGCTTACACTTTTATTCGCCCTGAGATTATACACGTATTTCGTCTTAATCTATGTTACGTCAAAAACCCAACCGTCTCCTACGACTGTCTCCCACTTCATGCCCCTTTGCTTCGTGCAACTGCCCACATCCCCTCTCTTACTGTAGTGTTGTGCCATTCTAATTAAGTTAATTTACCAATAAAATGTCAATTGCTTAAACAGAAACTATACTCTTAGAAAATTAATTAAGTGAAAACCTAACATTCGTCCATCCTGACTTCGGGCATGTCCTCATGCACGGTTGAAAAGAAACCTAACATTCGGTCAGATGCACGAGGCCTACAGATAATTTCACAGTATTAAAACAATAAGATAAAACTTACATTAGGTACATATTATTATTTCTTACTAATTAGCTTAATCAAAACAATCGGACATTGCTATAATCTTATGGTACATTCAGAATATAAGTTTAACAATAGCTTTTGGTATGTACTTAATATATTGCTCTTTGGACCCATCAATTCCCATTGAGCAAGTAAAACATAACTTCGCAGTTTTTTTTTTTTGTTAATCCATTACAATTTTCAAATGAGTCCCATTAGTAAATCCATCCATTCTTACGAACGGGACACATTTGACAAGCGAACACAGTGCAGAACACTTTACTTGCCCGATTACAAACCCATCCATTCTCATAACCGGCAGAAGTAAAACGATAAACTGTGAACCCATCCATTCTCACAGATATCTATGCTCAACACCCATGTCGCTAAATCTTAATCATAACAATATTTGTCCATCCATTCTCATAACCGGCACAAGTAAAACGATTAACTGTGAACCCATCCATTCTCACAGATATCAATGCTTAACACATGTCGCTAAATCTTAATCATAACAATCCTTGTTTTTTATTTGTCTATCTATCCAAATGTACGTCGTAACTTAACATAACATATTTTGTAACAAAATATTTACCATGAATGTGAAACTTAGAAGGGTACTTAGGTAGAAAAATTGTTAATAAAATTGTTCACAACAGGTCCATTTACGACATTTTTGATGTAATTTTACAAAATAAAATAAAAATTTAAAATAAATAAATAAAATAATTACTTGGTTTTATTATTTATCACTATTACTATAATCTATATATATCCTCATTACCACCATCATTAGACGTATCGGATTCATTAACATCTAAAGCGGCAAAATTGACCCAAGGCGACATTTGGTCAGCGGCTACAGCTGTTTGTCGTTTGTTCTTGGTACCCGTTCGTCCCGGAATAGTTGCTACCCTATATCTATAATTTCCCAATACTGATATTACCTAATATGGGCCTATGTATGAAAGAAGAAGTTTCCTACTCTTTCCGTCATTTGTAAAAGTCATTTTCGTTATTTTAACTAACCTTCGGCATAAACCTTGGCCGGACGTCATCCTCTATTGAATCTAAATTTTTGTTTCTCTTGTTGAGTATCAATAGAGTCTTTAATTTCTTTTTTTTTTCTTATGGTGGCTAGATCGTTTATTTCTCGAGTTTCTTGACGAACTATAATAAACTTAGAATTTGGGTTTGAGTTTGATATACGCAAGGTTTTATGAACAGGGCCGCTCATTGGCATTAATAACAGCGAAACAATTTTCTGTTTTATGGCCCATTCTATCGCATTTACCGCACTTTATAATAGGCTTGGGGCATTTTAAGAATGGATGACCCTTTTCCTTGCAGTTATAACAATATATATTATTATTTTGGATAAGGTTATTTTTATTTGTTAATCTATTATTATTATTAACGCTAATAACATCTGTATTTACACCAGACCTAAAGTTGTTATAAGTTCGTTCAAAAGGTTGATTGAGTTCTTTATTACTCATTAAAAATCGGAGCAACTGTTCCGGTTGTAAACAACGTAATGTGGTAGCACTTGATTTAATAGTTTTGTCCGTTAACCCGTGTATAATGCAATCGACAGCGCGCTTTCCTTCGATGTCACATTGGTTCAAAAGTGCCAATTTCTCATAATAATACACTTCAATAGGTTCGTTAAACTTGCTCTTTCGTTTCAACATATCTTCCAGAGCTTGGCCATAGTTATATTCATATGGAAAAGCATTTATTAACCTATCTTGCCACTCATTCCAATTAAAAAGAATTGAAGGTAAACTCTCGTACCAGGTCTTGGCCAAACCCTGGAGCTTTTGCATGGCGTAATGGATTGTTGTTTTGTCGTCCCAGCCGTAGACTGTTGCACATTCATTTACTTTTTTTAACCACATATCTATTCGTTGATTTTTCGACGTTGGATCAAAATCAGGTAAAATATTTTTATAGCTACTTGAATTAATAGGTGCAACCGGGGCGGACGTCGACGGCTGTGACTGTAAGTCTTTAAGTGATTTAAGAATATTAGTTACATCTTTAGTTGAGAACGAGGGACTGAAAGATCGTTGGCCTTGTTCTAGAATTCGCCTTCTTTTGGGACGGTCATCCACCCCTTGGTCAAGTGCCCTACTTCTAGAACGAACATTACGTCCAGTACTTGTATCACGCCCAGAAATATGGGAATCATGACGTTCGAAATCGTTATTTTTACTCACACTGCGTAGCCTCCTACTACGTTCCATAATCAGGTCGTTCTGGAGATTGTGTAGCCGGTCCCGTTCGCAAGCGAGGTCTCGTTCTACTACACGGAGTCGCTCACGTTCGTTAAAACTCCTAATACTGTCACAGCGGGTGCGGCTACGTCTGCTTCTGGTCCTATCATCATCCCTTCGTTGTCGGGACTCCCCACGATCTGGAGTCTCCAGACGACGAGGTTGCGATTTATCTTCCCTCTGCATTTTTTTCTGCAACTCACAAACAAAAGCAACTATGAATACATTCAATGACTTGAAACTTTTCTTAAGTAGGTATCTCGAAAACGGCCTATGTTATCTAAAAATTAACAAAATTTTTGTTACTCCTTTTATCCCAGCATCGCAGCGGTATCTAGCATTGGGTAGTCTTAATTGGATTGGCATAACACGTTAGGTAGCGCCATTGTCACATTTGACCTACACTTTTTTAATTTTATTAATAACTAATTTACTTTATTAATACGTTACCATAAGAAGAAGTACAATAATGTCCTCTTTGTTTAACTACCACTGGTTTGAAGTAAAACTTCTGTCCTGGTAAGAACCAGCAAGAAAGCATAAAAATAAAAGGAGAACCCAATAATTACCGAAATAAGTAAAACAAATGAACAAATAATAACATAATTTAAAACCTGCTAACAAAAACGGCTTTGTCGCACGGCATTTGTTTAAAACATTTAATGTTATTCACGACTGTTCCCTTATGTTACAAAAGGTTTAAGTTACAGTTCTTTAAAGCTGATAAGATTGTCGATAAGTAGAAACAATAACAATAACATTTGGATGTTTATTTAGTTTTGTACAGCTCTTTGTTTCTAAGGGATCTTGAAAAAGTGTATTTACTGCCAATAAATTTGGTTTTAGGAATGAAAAAGCGTATGATTTTATTTTATTTTTATGTCATCATAATCTGTATAACACGCTCTTCTTAAAATGAACCGAAATGATGTATGTAATCATTAAAATAGTTCTACTTCTTTATCCGCAAACATTTGCTAAAAATTCTACAGGAGACAGTTTGCGCGAGCCTCCTTGTAACCTCATTTTCAAAACCTTTTTGTGAAAATATTACAGCGTCTTCTTTATTTTTTTATATACAGTTATATAGATAAAACATTTTGAAATAATATTTTTATGAATATACACGCAATAAACTATCTATAAAAGGCTAAATATCTCAGAAGGTAGATCTATTTGAAATTTTGACCGTTATAAATTGTTGGCGTATGTTGGTGTTTTGTTTATCTTTTTTTTTTATCAATTGAAACACAAAAATTTTCTGTTGTTGTAACTTAAATCATTCTAAAACATTATCTAGCAAAAATAATTAACATTTTTTTTTTACCAGTTTTTGAAAGAAAATCCAACAAAAATCATAAATACAAAAAGAAAACAATTCGCAACTAACATCACCAACAACGCGAAAGTGAATGCCAATTTTTTTTTTAATTTTGTCTATGTAACCGAGTGAGCTTAATACTTGAGAATACTTTTTACTTCGTTCAGAATTGAATAAAATAGTTTCTAATTGAAAATATACTGTCGTTCTATATTTATTAAGAGTAAGACGAAAATAACAGCGCGGTATAGCTGTATGAATTGGTTCCCCCGGTACTCAACGGGTTAAAGCCTAGGACCATTTAATCATAAACGAGTCAATAAAATTGTTTACAATAAAACTTTTTTTTTCATCAGAACATATACTTACAGGTATAATAAAAGAAACGGGTACTTACCACTTCTGAAGTATAATAAAAGACTCTCCGATTACTGCTTACACTTTTATTCGTCCTGAGGCTTTAGTTTAAACTCTATATATTATACATTTATTTGGTCTTAATCTATGTTTCGTCACTAACCCAACCGTCTCCCACGGCTGTCTGCCACTTTATGCCCTTTGCTTCGTGCAACTGACCACATCCCCTCTCTTACTGTAGTGTTGTGCCATTCTAATTAAGTTAATTTACCAATAAAATGTCAATTGCTTAAACAGAAACTATACTCTTAGAAAATTAATTAAGTGAAAACCTAACACTGGTATCCTGATTTTTTGATGTGGATATGTTATTGCTAACTAAAATATGATTAGAGCAGGAAGCATCTTCTTGGTAATGTTCAGCGCACAAGAAACAAGCACATTCCGTACAAGTAGTCAAAATAGGATTATGACAGTTAATGTACTCGCAGCAATTTTGCACACGGTTTGCAGGAACATAAGTTGAAAGTGGTTCGTCTTCAGACGAAGAGTATTCTTTTGCTTCGACAACAGTTACTGTACCATACCACCATTTTCGTTCATACAACATTTTCACCTTTGTACCAAGTGTTATCTTCTGACCTTTTCTGATTGGAAATAATTCCCGTGTGTGTACAACATTTTGAGTGCCATCTTTCCATGTAACTAACACGTCCATCATTGAAAAACCATCCCACAGAAAGTTAAGTAGATAGTAGGTATCTGTAAGGAATAATTTAACCGTAAATAAGAAAATTAATTACACACTGTCACATTTAGGAATAGTTAAACACTGACATTGTAACTTGCATATTATTTAAACTATGGTTTAGGTAACAAAACATTGCAATAACAAATAAATAACTTTTCTAAAATTTTAACCTAAAATATTAATTCATCTTTTAGGTAACTATGCGTTTAAAAGCAATAGGTACATTACTGTAAACTTACCTTGTGATTTGTATAAAACACAAATAAAAGTAACTCTTAAAATAAGTATTCATTCACTTTGAAGACAGAATTTTATTAATTTTAATATTCGTAAACAAACAATGCACCTTATTAACTTGCAACTAACTTCGCTCGACTGCTTAACACGTCTTGACCTGTCATTGTTTCACTCGCGTAATCACGTTAGATAGGTTATAGTGCCACCAACTTATCTGTTCAGTTGACAGAGTCGCTAGTGGATTGCTTACTATTGCCATTTAAGAAATTCACCGAGGAAATAGGTGACTACATATTCATTACACATAATATAAAATAAAACAAATTTCGTGTTAATATATTAAAATTAGTGAGAATTAGTGTTATTATATATATTATTTTTATTTTATAAAAATAATTGTGGTCGTGGTCTCGGAGTTCAAGCGGCCGAAATCCAGGAATTTCTGTTTTGACAGATGTACCCGCGTTAGCTACTGGTTCCAATAATTCATCTTCTGAGTCACTGGAATCACTTTCGCTATCGCTCTGACACTCAATAATAAAGGGTTCATCTAAATACGCGTCTTTTAGTTTGTAATCATTTTCAATTTTTTTCACATGATTACAAATGTTTTTCCACTGCACCTGTGTAATTTTATGGAATGTATCTTCAATTAATGGGGGAATTAGAACATTAGATTTTCCAACATTTTTGTCTGCTATGTTCCTTTTCATATCATTTCAATTGCGTTTAAGTCGCAATGATAAGGCGGCAAGCTAAGAATAACATGGCCATGACTTTTCATCAGGTTATCAATTTTATATTCCGGAGCAGGTTTATTTCTCTTTATTAACTCATAAAGCTGAGGTTTTGTCATTTGTTCATTGAAATCCACAGTGTTTTCTACAAACCACTTCTGCATATCGGCCTTACTGTGGTTTGAGTTAGGACACCTATTTACGCAAATACTATGTTATGGCGCATTATCCATCACAATGAGGGAAGGTTCATGCAGAATAGGTAGTAATTTTTTATATACTTATTTATTGAAATTAGTGGTATATATTTCATCATGGTAGTCCCCATATTTTGTATTTGATTTAAATACGAGAAGGGCATTCTCCACAAAACCATTTTCTCCACCTGCATGGATTATGATCCACCTATATACCTTTCGAAACAGGTTCCAAATCACCATCGTCTTCAAGACCTTGCCAACATTCCCCAGTTGAGTGAGACGAGTGTAAGTTTCGTCTAAATAAATAATAGGACTTTTTCACCACACTCATTTTCTTTAATTTTTTGTATGTAGATTGCTCTCCATGCAACTACGTCGTTACGTTTATACAACATTTTCTATTTGATTTCGTTTTCATATAACGAATTCCTATTTTGTGAAGCAATTTTCGAAGAGTTTCACGTTCTGCTTTGAAATCAATATCTTCCTTTAAAATACTTAGTAATTTGGGTATGGTAGGAATTTCTTTTTTCACTGAATAAAATTCGTGAATTTTCTTCTTATACACCAATGTCAAAATTATCAACTTCTTGTTTCCCGGTTTTTCTATGCTTTTTTTTGCCAGGGGTAGAAATTTTAGAATTGGATTCTTTAGCGTGTTTCTCTTCATTTACGGGTTTGTGTACAAATCGCTCAGAAACACCTGTAAGCCTGTAACAAAACGACAAATAATTATTTTATAGGTAAAATTAAATAAATATAAGCCCGTGTATATGCCGTCATACAAAGCTAGGTACTTTAGACGAATTACAGTAAATTGAGATAATTTTTTTTACTATGTTTCACAAGTATATTATTTGGTGATTTTAATTTTCCATATCTGGCAATACTAACCTGTCGCGGCAGCAACGCGTTCAATACAGCTTTTCAAATGGTATAGTTGGGGCTTGTACACGTTTCTCTTCTTTTATAAAAGATAAAACTTTTAGGATAATCTGTCGCACATCACTTTTAAGAGCTTTAGGCATTTTATTTGCACTTTTTAAAGACATTCACCTGATAGTTCAGAATAAATAATAACTGACTGCGAAATGTCATTAACAAAATGGCGACCTTAGTTCCAATTTTGTCCACCTGAACAGATAAGTTGGTGGCACTATACGCCTCTTCGTGAAAAAAAAATTGCATGGGAACAGGTAAAAATAGGCGTAACTGGTGGATACGACTATTCGTGATTTTTAAATTGGGATGAATAGCAGATAGGGCTTTTCGTAATTGTTTGTAAATCTGTTTCCGGTGTGTTTTAAATTACGCCCTTTCGTGACGCTATAAAACTTGCCTTATAGATTACGATGGTGGAGATAACTAAAATCGAATATTTGTGGGATACGCCCCTTCGTGATTCGACCGACGACTTGTTTTGCTATTCTTACTAATTAGACGTTTTCAGATCGACTTTACTTTTACATTTGTATAACATTAATATTTAACAGTTGTAAATGTCAATGAATGATATAGGGTCGATGCGCTGGTTTTCGGCCTTTTAGTGGAGTTGTCAACTTTAAGGTACTAGAAAAAATAATTGCCATTATGATGGCCTAGTGCTCTTAATTTTAATTTATAGCGTACATAATGTAGTTTTCATTTTTATAACTCATTGATGCTACAAGAGGAAACTGTTTTTTATAATAATTTTAGACGTGAAAAATATGTAAAATGCTAGTTTTCGGCCCCAAACTTTAGATTTCGGCCCACAAAAATTTCAGTTTTCGGCCACTGCATTAGGCAGGATAGAAAAGGTAGTATAAACAAATGTTTTTGTAAAATTATAATAAAATGTAGTGTATTTCTATCTATATCTTTTATTTGCATTAACATGAATAAAATTATTATCAATCAATCTAATAAAATTATTATCAATCAGGTACCATCTTAAGCAAAACAAATTAACTCTTATCAACATTAACAATACTGCAATAAAATTAACAATAACTAGATATATTATAACAGTTCCAAGACTATCACAGTCACATTAACATAAATATAAGTCTTCTCTTTTTTAATAATATTACTTGAACAACACTCAGTTTTCGTAACATTTTATCAATAACTTTGTTTATCATAATCAGTCTTCTTACAGTTATTCTTATCATTAAAAAATTGAATATTTATTTGAAAATATACTATACTATATACTTTCATTTTTACCCGACTTCACTAAGAAGGACCTCCTCAATTCACCTGATTTATTTTTATGTATGTTTGGGCATAAGTCCGACATACATGCACTGATTTGGATGATTTATATTTATACCCATTTAAGTTTGTTGAGGAAGATATCGCGTAACACACAAAAATCATACTGTCGAATTGAGAACCTCCTCCTTTTTTGAAGTCGTCTAATAACTTATAACAAAAAGTAAACCGCCTTGAAATATATAAAAGTAATGTTAAGGCAAAACAGTTTCAGTCTTCGATAACAGTGCTTTCGATTTCTCTAATTATTTTTGAATATAAAATATATAAATTATATTTTGTATATAAAATAATAATCATAATTTTTCTGTCAATCATAATCTAATAACAAAATCTTAAATATGGCAATCAAATCTTCTCAATCACGATTAAACATGCAAGTATTGCATTTAAAGGGTTTGTTTTGTACTTCCTCATATTTTAGTCCAACAAAATCTGTACATCTCAAATGATACCATGTGGTGCAAAAGTCACGTCCAATATTTTTTTCCGAATCTTCTTCTGTATCACTTATTAAAATATAATGACACAAGGCGCAATCTACTCTTGCTCTTTCCTTTTTCTTTATAGAATTCTTTGATTTTGCAATTTTTCGTGTTTGTACTTTAGCACTCTTTAACTTTTCCTTTTCTATTCTTTTCTTTTTCAAAATGTCTTGCCTTTTTTTACTTAATTCTAACTTCTCTATTTTAACTTTCTCTTTATCTTCATAAAATTTTCGCCACTCTGCAGAAGAAATTGCCGCAGATGAAGGTGTACGTATACGGTAAATAGATTTTTTACGGGTTCCGGTTTAACTAAGTGTTTTTCTATTGCATTTCTATATTCTGTATGTAATAGTGTTGAAGTCGATGTTTCACTAGTTTGTAGAGTCTCTTTTATCGGAATATTAACCAGCACATTTTCTAAAGTTTTAGAGGTCTTGTTTGTTATGATGTGTGTTTCCGGTGGTGGTATCATTGTAATTATTGTACTGCTTTGAGTGGTTGTTGTATTACTGGAATCTATTATCATTTCAGGGATTTTCAATATTGATGTCGTTGGTTGGCTTATTTGAGTTGGAATTACAAGTATATCCTCTAACGATACTAAAGAACCAATTTCCAAATAACTTCCTGACAAATGCAATGATGATATATTGTCATCAATTAACGATTCTGATGCATCGGTAGATGAATCCTTAGTTACCTGAACATCGTGGGTTAAAGTCCTTTGATCTTGGTCTGTGTTGCACAGCCTTTCTGGAGACTTAAATGGATTTAGCGGTCTTATATTACTTAATTGGGGAAGTAAGTTTTCATTGGTCTGGCTGTGAGGAATGGTTTCAAAAGAATCCATTTTTGTCGTGTTAAAATCATCTACATGGATGGTCATATTATTATTTTCTTCTTCAATTATTTGAGATGTCGTAATATTGACTGTTGAGTTCGTTCGGTCTTCAGAGCATGTTTCGTATAAAACGTCATCGATTTGTTTCTGAGAAGACTTTCTTTTCAGTTTCCTCATCTCCTTCAATATAATTGCAACTTTTATGTTTTTTTCTGCCAGAGTTAATTTTAAATGTTTTAAAACTTTCCTTGCGGAAACTAGGTCTGCGTTAGTTATCTCTTTGGAAATATTTCTTTGTGGTGTCTTCGAATTATCACTGTTCAGTTTTTCCAGGGTATTCTGTACACATTTCGAGTAGTCCACTGCATTGGGATCAAATGGATAAAGTCCGCATTTTCTGAAGCCATTTATTATATTTCGAGGCATATTTGTACTTTCCCTTGTATGTTGCCGTGTAGTGGCGGTCAAGAATACCACTACCCCATATCCTCCCGAGGGTGTCGTAAAAGGCGACAAAGGGAAACAGGCAGGAGATGGGCAGCAGCATCTTCCTGATAATAGCCAGACAATAAAAAAAAAACTGCGGTTGCCAACCCGCTCGCCAAGCGTGGCAACTATGGCAAATACCCCCCAAATGAATAAAGTTACTAAGAGACGGCC